GGCTGTCCATCTGAGGCTGGCTGAGTCGGGGGTGGGGAACCTGTGCACTCAGAGGGCTGTCCATCTTTCCTTGTTGGTAGCACCGTTCTTTCTAGGCCCTGTGCTCTGGGCTACAGCTACCCTGCTGGCTAGTGGCTGGTGTCTTCTCCGTCCCTTCTGGGGCCCTTTGAGTCCTTGTGAGGTTCCTGTCCACGCTTCCTTTATTTATTTATGTATTTTTTTATTTGTTTAATTTTATTTTTGAGACAGCTGTCTATAGTTCAGGCTGGCCTTGAACTCACTGTACAGCCCAGGCTGGCCTTGAACACGTGGTGATCCTTCTGCTTCAGCCTCCCAAGAGCTGGGATCCCAGGCATGTGCCACTGCACCCAGCTCTACACCTCCCCCTTGACTCTGTCTCCCCGGACTGTGGTCTGCTCTGCCCCCAGCTGCACCCTCCAGTGCTTCTCTTTCTTTCCAGAAAGAGGTGCAGATCAAATTCCACGTCTTGCTCACCTCCTATGAGCTTATCACCATCGACCAGGCCATCCTGGGCTCCATCGAGTGGGCCTGCCTAGTGGTGGATGAGGCTCACCGGCTCAAGAACAACCAGTCCAAGGTGGGTGGCAGCGGCTGCGGGGCTGGGGCCCTCCTGGATGGGGGCCTTCTGCGCCCCTGACCAGCCTCCCTCTACCCGAAGTTTTTCAGGGTTCTGAACAGCTACAAGATTGACTACAAGCTGCTGCTGACAGGGACCCCTCTTCAGAACAACCTGGAGGAGCTTTTCCATCTGCTCAACTTCCTAACACCTGAGAGGTTCAAGTGCGTCCCCTGGCCTGGAGGGAGGCTGGTGGGATGGGGCGGGGCTGGGTTTGGAGCAGGCAGTTGCCACTTCTAGACCTGCCTGCGGGGTCTTAGCTTCTCAGGGGTAAAATGGAAGCATGAAGCCAGGGCTGGGGTGGGACGACCTGGACCCCACTTCAAGTCTTGTTCTCCCCTACCCATCTTCCTGCCCAGAGTGGGGGTTCTGGGTGAAGACTGCCAATTCCAGAGTTAGAGAGTACTTGGGGCTCTGGTAGACCACCAAGCCTTGGGCCCTCTCAGCCTCAGTTTCCCCATCTGTAATCTGGAAAGCTTTTGTCCAAGGTGGCTTGATGGATGGCACAGAGACAGGGCTGACATTTGGAGTGATGCAGGCTCGGAAGGAGGCCCAGGGCTATGCCTGGGGTCCCTGGCCCCCTTGCCCTGTCTGCACCCGTCCGATCTCCTTGCCATCTGCAGAGGGAGGGCTCCGCCCCGGCTCTTAGCCTGCATTTCATTGCAGCAACCTGGAGGGCTTCCTGGAGGAGTTTGCAGACATCTCCAAGGAGGACCAGATCAAGAAACTGCACGACCTGCTGGGCCCGCACATGCTGCGGCGGCTCAAGGCAGATGTGTTCAAGAACATGCCGGCCAAGACCGAGCTCATCGTGCGGGTAGAGCTGAGCCAGATGCAGAAGTGAGTGGCGAGCTGCGTGCCCCAGAGCCGCCGCAGCCCCATCCCCTGCTCGGGCCGATCTGACCTTCCTGGGCCTCTTCCTGGGCTGGCTGGGAGGGCTTCCCCCAGGTCGCCCCCTGGCTCACCTTTGCGCCCCTTTGTTTTTGCTTCTGCGCTCTGGCAGTGGCCCCAGGAAATCTGCTGGGCGATGCTGGGCCTGCAGCTCCAGCTCTGGGGCTCCTGGCATGCTCTATAAGTGGTGCCCGGCCATGAAGTGCCCCAGGCACTGGGGGGACAGTGTGTGGCCCTCGAGGCTGGTCAGCCCCTGTGCGTCCAGCTCACCTTGCCCTTGCCCAAACAGGAAATACTACAAGTTTATCCTCACGCGGAACTTCGAGGCGCTGAACTCCAAGGGGGGCGGGAACCAGGTGTCGCTGCTCAACATCATGATGGATCTGAAGAAATGCTGCAACCACCCCTACCTCTTCCCCGTGGCTGCCGTGGTAGGCTCCCGCAGGCCCCTGGGTGTCTGCAACCACCCCTACCTCTTCCCCATGGCTGCCGTGGTAGGCTCCTGCAGGCCCCTGGGTGTCTGCAACCACCCCTACCTCTTCCCCGTGGCTGCCGTGGTAG